TCTGGCTTCACACATTTGAAATCTTAAGTGTCAGCTGTTTTAAACAGACATTTGATTAAGTACATTTGTTGATGCATAAAATGCATACATATAGAAAAACTTGCATACATAACATGTATGTATGTTAGCATGCACGAGAAATATGAGGTTGCCAGGGCCAAAATAAAAAGCTGGTAAAGCATAGAATCGAACTTGTTTACAGAACCTGAAGCTCAGTGCTGCCATCTGCTGTTAGTTCCGCTGCAGTGTTGCATCATGTTGTGTGCTCTGAATAAAACACAGCGCCCCTCGTGGACAGTATAGGAACTGCAGATTTTCAATTAAACGAAGTATATGTTTTTTCATGAATAATGATAATGCATTTAGCCCCCGGGCCGGACTAAATCGTTCGGCGGGCCGGTTCCGGCCCGCGGGCCGTACGTTTGACACCTCTGATTTATTCTATGAAATAAAATCTTTCATCCTGATCAAATCCAGCATTCCCACCAGCTCAGTCCGATCCGTTCCAACCTGATTCCAGCCTGTTTGTTTAGAAAGTCCGGTCCGGTTGGTGAGGTGTGAACGCTAATTGACCTCTGACCTCTGGTCCTCCAAAATGAACTCTGTTTCAGTTTCAAATGTGAACATCAAGCGGACCAGAGACCGCTCCAAAAGCAGGAAGTGGACTACAGGGCAGGGCATTCTGGGTAAATACAACCAAAGCTAACATGCTAGCCTAGCGCTAGCAGCAGAAATGTCTCCTGGTCTTCAGCCAAAGACTAGAGAGAAATCCTCCAACCGCTAAAATCCTCCATCTTGTTTCCATCTGGTGAAGAAGGAAGTTGCTCTCAGTGTCTTCAGAGGTTTTTGTGTCGTTTCCTTCAGTGGTTTTTGGAGCAGCGCCCCCACAGGCCAGGAGGGGGACAGGTTGGTTTGACTCAGAGCAGAGAGGAAGAGAACCACAGCAGCTGGAGGTGGAGCAGATGATGGAGTTCTGGTTCCAGTAGAACCGGGTCAACTGGACCATCAGAGGGGAACAGACTGAATCTGAGTCAAAGTGCAGCTGGTCTAGTTCTGGTCTCAGAGGTTCTTTGGTTCTATCTAAAACACGGTGGTGGTAGCATCAGGATGCAGACCTAGTCAAAGTCCAGACCTGACTGTAACTGAGAGTCCATGGGAAGGCTCAGACGTTCTCCATCCAGCCTGACGGAGCCGGAGATGATTAGTCGGCAAACTGGTTGCCTGGTAACTGAAACAATTACAACCAGACTGACTCTAAGAATGCAGATGCATGCCGCACTTTTTGGATGTTTCCTCGTAAAATGTTTCCGAAACCAAGATGTTGGGTTTTCCAGTTTTTAGTCATGATGCGTTCGCTGACCCTCTGGACGTTTTTAATGCTGACGCATCGAACCTGAAGCTTCTGCTTGTCTCTCTGTGCTGCGACTGAATGCATGAGAAGGACAACCGGCTGCTTCCAATGTCCTGCCGCACCAATCAGATTCTCCCTGAGTCCTGAGCAGGGCTGGTTTCCAAACTGAAGGATGAAACTGGAGTGAAACGCGTCAGATCATTTAAGTTTCATGCGTTTATTTCTCCGACACTCTGTGTGTGTTTGGTACAAAACGAAGACTGAGTCACCCTCCACTTCACAAAACACACAGACTACACAGATCACGGCTCAGCCTCCATTTTGCTGGGACTGATGTGAGTTAACGGGAGAATCCAGCAGACTCTGCCTGATGCTGAGTCTGTGGGTCAGAGGAGCCGTTTTCCTGAGCAGCTCTGCCGGTTGAACCCGTCGGCCCGCTGAGGTCCCGGTGTGGGCCAGCGCTCAGAGGGCGGGTTCTTGTGTAACGGCTGTTCTGATCTCTGCTTTATGCAACAGGACTTTCGCAGCAGACCCTCATCAGGAAACCAGAGGAAAAGTTTCCCAGAGCAGCAGATCCACCTGCGGCTGACTGAGCTTCTGGGTTTGGTTCTGTTCACACTTCTCAGTTGTCCTGCGTCTCTTTATCTCGGTTCTTCCGGCCCGTTCCTTCACGTCCGCTCAGCTCCCTCCCTCTGCCTGCCTGCTCTTCCCTCTCAGCTGAACCCGGTTCAGAAATCCGCTCCTCGTTTTCTCTCCGCTGGATTCTAACTCATGTCAGTCTGAACGGCCCAAACTGGATCGGTTCCATTTCCACATGTGGAACTAAACCCAGCTGTGACTCAAACGAGACTCTAAGGAGAAACTAAACTCTGGGCCGGCCCAATAATCAATTAATCAATTAATCACATGATACATTAGAACAAACTCAATAATTTCCATTTTCATGATTTATCGTTTTTCTCTTTCTGCCAAAAAACAAACCAGTTTTTTAAAGGATCATTTTGCTACAGAAACTTCATAATTCATTTTATATATTTTCTATATTTAAATTGTCTTTCAGTTCCAGTTTAAATGTTTATTAGAATTCATCATCCAGGAACATTTGTTATGGTGACTGGCCTAGTTAAAGCCCAAAGTCCAGTTCCCCTGACAGCAGCACTGAATGCTGGTTGGTTTCATCAGAGACCGCTGGGAGCCGAGCAGAAACACTGACTGGTTCTGATTCTGGTTCTGGTGGTTCTGCAGTGGTTAAACTGAAGCGGGTCGCCTTCCCTCCCCCTCATCACTTCCTGCTGAGTAGGAAAAGCGTTTGGAGAGTCGGAGCTTCACAAACAGCGAGGCGGACGGATCAGGCTGCGTTACTGTCAGAGTGCAGCGGAGCGCATCACTCTGCAGCTTTGTTTGGCTCACACTGTGTGTGTGTGTGTGTGTGTGTGTGTGTGTGTGTGGGCCCGGGGCCCTGCGCTGTCTGAACACTGCAGTCCGGGTCCCCCGCTTACGGCGGACTGAGTCCTGACCTACATGGAGCTGCATCTTGACTCCGAGCACCATCAGCCACCATCAGAGGAGCCGGCGGCGCCGACCGGCCCGCTGACAGGACGGAGACGCTGCAGCTCGACGCCGAACCTCCTGAATGCAGCCAAACCAGGAAACAGTTCCATTAAAACACTAAAAAAACCTGAGAAAATCTGTTAAAATGTGGATGAAAGGACCGTCTGCTGCAGGTGCTGGTTGTCATGGTAACTAGCATCAAATATGTGCATAAAGAAAACATCTGAAGCATTTTAAAATAGCATAAAATAAAGTTAGTTTATTGATTAATTCCAGGATAATACAGGAGTTTTGGGTTTGCCGTATTCTAGGTATTCCACAATAGTTGATAGTGACAACAAAGAATAATTGTCTTTATTCAAAAAATAAAAAATAATATGACACTATTTAAAAGATGTTTATTTTTATTAAAATAAAAACATTACAAATTACTTTTTTTATTTAAATGTCTAAATCTTACCAGGAAAAATCATATTATGTTTTCATAATTCATGACTAAAATGTCTGCAGTAATTGGGTGTTTAGCTGAGCTCAGGCAGCCCACATCATGACTCTTCCACCACCGTGCTCCAGATGACTTCCTGTCATTAGAATTTAATCAAAATTTTATTTTAAATTCTGAGATATTACCAGATTTATTTTCAGATGGAAATCAGCTGCTGCTCAGCTCGATCGGTTTCCTTTTTCCTCGTGTTCAGCTTATGCAAAATGTTTTTATGTTCTCAGATAAAAAGGTGTGTGAATCATCTTTATGTAACACAATGACAGCCAGGCATGCCAGGAAGCTGGAAGCGCCGCGGCTGGCCTTGTCCTGAAGCCTGAACTCCCACTCAGCCAGGCTCTGCTGCTTCAGACGTTAAAACCAACCTGCTGAAAATCTCACATCTATAAATATTTGATGGAGCCGCAGCTCAGGAGGCAACGCAGCAGAACCAGCTGGGCTCTTTGGCTCCCAGTGCTGATCTCAGCATCGAGTCCGACTCAGAACCGGATCCTGATTCGGACTTTTCTCCGTTTATCGGCTTCTGTGGAGCTGCTGGATGGTTTATTTCCAGGTTTCTGAGAAGGCTGAACATATTTCCTGCATTTTCAGGTGCAGGTACAAAAATGTGATGATAGTGAAAAGATCAATAATATTTGTCACTCATATCAGAAAATCATAGATTTATAACAGAGTGAAATATTTCAAGCCGTTATTTCTTGTCATTTTGATGATTATACATAGAATGAAAACATATCATAATACTGAAATTTCCAACATGGAAAGTCAGAAATATCAACCAGACTAGTTATAGTCTGAGATCTTTTATGGAGCCACTTGGCTCTGATCTTTAATCTAATCATTAATATATATTTTCCTATTTAAAATAAAATGATATCTGTTTGTCCAGTTCAGTTTATTCTGCCCTCCTGGTTCCCGTCCCTCAGGGTAAAACTCACGAACCGCCCCGCCACCGGCGCCGGGAGGAGCTGCACTTTGTGGACGAGTATGGCCAGCCAATCACAGTGCAGGTGGACAGCAAAAGTGGGCGTGGCCACAGGAGGCGGCGGTCCCACTGCGCCATCGAGTGCAGCATCCCATCAGAGAGGCACTGGGGGGCCCTGAGGGCCATGGGCCTGGTGGAGGGGGACGAGGGCCAGGCAGACGTCTACGGCGCCGGGTGGGTACCGAACACACAACCTTCTGCAGAATCTGAAACATCTGGCAACAAGTAACTGCAAAGTTTGTCTGTTAAAATTTCTCTGTTTGCCTCATTTCCTCAACCGTCCGTCATCTGGGCCTGGAATCTTTAAAGGCAGATTCTGTGTTTTCCATCTTATAGCACAACCAGGTAGCTATTTTAGCTTAAGTTGTTATAAATATGCTGTTTATATCAAACATGACTTAAAAGAAATTTTACTTCCTGATTTAACTCCTTTAGATTGGGCCTCTGTCACTTTAAAAGCTCCTGCTCTTTCTGAAGCTCCGCCTCCAGGAAGTCGTCCCAACATGGCTCCTCTGTTAACCCTTTAACGTTTTTTCCAGCGTCGCTCCATGCAGCAGCTCCTACAATGAGCTCAGCTGTTCCACCAGATGTTTGCTAATTGCTACTGGCTAGTCTGAAGGAGCAGAGTGGGGGAGGAGCTGCACCTCCCCCACTCATGCCTAGGTGGGCCAGGCCCACCTAGGCATGTAGCACAGCTGAATGGTTGCCATGATATCAAAACACTGCAGGTTTGTTTTTGTTTAATTACCATGAAAACATGATGGAAAGCTAAAGAAGGTTGATTCTACATGACACTGTCTCTTTAATAAAGTTTCAGCTCGTTGAAATAAGGAGTTTCAGCAGGGAAAAATATAAAACCTGCAGGATTCTCAGCCTTAAGCCACAAACACAATGCATAGCTCTCAGATGGAGCAAATCTGTAGCAAAAAAACAGCAAAACACGGTAAAAGTTCTGGTAAATGTGGCTGTTCATAAACATCCAGTAAGTGGGAAAAGGAGAGAAGTTGAAAAGACATGTTCTGGTTCTGGTTCTGCTGAAGGAGGCAGAGAAAATGTAAATGCATTAGATGCAGTTTGATTCATTTTTATAACGACGTCCAAACTTTAGGTAAAAAATTCAGGTGGATCGACTGGAAAAGACTGCAGTCATAAATATTAATGAGCTGCAGGAGGTTCTGTTGAGGTCAGTGCAGAACGGGTTCTGAAGATGCACACTTCAACACCTGACGCCCCAACATACCCAGGTGTTGTTCGCTCTGTGGAGGTCCACGCGTACTCAAGGTGGAATCAAAGAGTCGGACCTGTCCGCTCAAAGATCACCTTTTATGAGCACACACTCGGTAGTAAACACTCAAACAGTGTTCACACTGAGTCCATAAGGTTGAGAGTCAATGCTCCCAGTAACGACGACGCTATGCTCTGTCCCGCTGTGACAGGTGCAGAGGCTGCCCTGATGGAGAGAAGCGGGGCTAGGCAGGGAAGTAGCTAATTAAACTTGGTAATATCCATTAGGATTGTGGGAAATAAAGGAATTTATTTCCTTTATTTGCCTATATTGGTACCAGTTGCTTACAGTGGTGCCAGCTGCCTACCAATGTTGGCAATAACATTGGTAATTGGTACCGGTCTACTCAGTTAGTACCAATGTAGGGAACCGGTGCACCTGGCTATGGAATTCCAACTGTGCAGAGTCCTCACAGTACACCTCATCATTTTTCCATCCATGACTCCTTATGCCTGATGTGGCTGGCCTCTTCCTTTACACAGGAGCTACTACGGTCACATGACTGTGTCACCTGACCCATACCCGGCCAACAGCCACATGATGATGTCACCTGATGTCTATCCACCCAATGGCTACCTTCCCACAGCATCAAATGATCAACACCCCGGTAACAACTACCTGCCCAGCGTCTCCTACAGCTTGGACCACCTGGACAGACTGGACTACCAGGTGATTTTATGTTTTCTCGCTCTCAAATTTACTTAGGTATGATGATCCGTTCTGCCTTTCTGATCCGGATTATCTTCCAGGGTCCGGAGATGTTGCCCTACCAGAGGAACTCAGAGAGCTGTCTGATTGGCTGCTATAGCTCAGAAGAAGGGAAGCCGAAGAGTTTCCCCAGACAGGTACATGAGATACAAGTCTTCCATCAGTTCTGAAATATAATTACCTCCTCATTCTCAAACTGGGTCAGCATGGTTTCTGTGATGGAGATCTGTAAAGGTCAGTGGAACTGACCCAACATGTGTGTGCTTGTTGGGATCAGCACTTAACTCACTGATTTAAAGTTGGATTTTGACAATTTGCTGGTTTGAAAATTGCACAATTTTAAGGCAGCGTTCACAGCATCCCGTTTTATCTCATTTAATTCAACTCCAGTCCGTCTGCCTAGAAAGTCTGGTTTGGTTGAGGAAGTATGAATAGGTAGTTGAACCAATAGTCATCGAGGAAGTCTTAAAAGTTCAGTACATGCATTGATTATCTCCATCACCAACTCATCTCTTTTATTGCCTTTTTAGTCTGACTACCATCCTCCTTGGAGGCCTGACCGCCCTCTCAGCTACCTGCCCCTCAGCGAGCTTGACAGCGGGTTGGGATGTGGACCCGACAGCCCGCACCACAGGGTGGTGCTCTCAGAAGCTGAGACAGATGCCATGTCATCACTACCAGGCCACACCCCTTCCTCTCAAGGCTCCTCCTCATCCTCGGAGTCTCTGATCTCATCTGAACCCAGCGACTCCGGCTTTCACAGCGTCAGCACAGGCGAGCACAGACGGCTACACAAGATTCCTAGCAGCCACACTCACCGGCAGGCTCACCACTTCCGCTCAGGCCACTCTCCTCGAGAGCAGAGAGGACGCTGGGATTTGGAGTCCATCCCTGAGACGACGCCAATGACCCACTCTGGACCAGCACAGGCGTCCCGGTGCTCAGTGGGAAACAGCACGACCACAATGGTTCACTTCCACAGAGCGGAGAGAAGTCCCACGTTACCTCGCCACCATTCACCCCCATCGCCCTCCATCGGTAAGTGACGCTAACTAAAAAGCTAGCTGCACGAGTCCTAAAGTGCAAATCATAAGCATTAGTTCTGCTAACACTAGACAATTATGGCAACATGCTATTACCTAATGCTAAAGCGCAACCTTCTCAACACCCACAATGACATCATGTAGTTATGTCACTCTCCACGGGGTCAAATGTATTATTACTCACCTCCCTGTACTGTTTGCTCTTCAGGAAGTGATGCTTTGGAACAGACTTTTTCCTTATGATTTCAGTTTTGTAGATGCTGAGCTTTGCTAACTCTGCTGCTGATTTTGTCTAATTCACCACAGTCGGACATCAGCAGATTTAAACTATTTACTATAAAATTACAGCAATGCATTCTGGGTACAGAATAAATGTAATTTCCTGCACCTCATCATGGGTGGAGAATGTGAGCAATACCAATAAAAAGGCTCACAAAACAATTTATATATGTTTGCATGTACTTATGTACTTAAATAAGAGCATGAATATAAACATCTAACGTCTTCTTAACAGTCAAAAACCAAAACTTGTTGTTTATCGTGTGCAGGTAGTCGCACCGAGCCCTGCCAGCGGAGGGCGCTGTGGTTGGAGCAGCAACAGCAGGGTGGAGGCAGAAAGATGGAGGCTCCAGGGCGGAGTCGAACAATAACAGATTTGAGTGAAGGACAGCGACGCCGCAGGGCGAGTCATCCCAACATGACGGACCCAAACTCCCTTAGAAACACTCATCAGAACAGCCATCCGAGTCCGAGTAGTAGCGTGATGGGACCGAGGAGCAGGGCCAGTTATCCCAGTAACTGTCACCCCACTGGTCAGGTCAGCCTAGACAGAATCAGTCTGCTCAACCATCAAAGCTCAAACCGGAGCAGAGAGGAGGACTCCCTCTCCAAGAGTCCTGGATCTGCCTCTAGTGGAGTCAGTGGAGTCTCAGACTGGAGAGCATTTCAGACTCTTGGGAGTCACATGGAAAAGCCCAAAAGTTCCTGCGGTCCCTTTTACAGCACACTGGGGGCTCCAGAGCGAAGCCCACGATCTCCAACATCTCCCCGCTCCAGGCTATCCAATCAGAAGTCAGTTAGAAATCAGCTGCTCAGAGCCCGAGCTTACCGATTGGCCAGGGAGCGCAGTGAGGTCACAACAGACGAAGAAATGCGGGGAGATGGGTCAAGAGGAGGCGAGGATGAATGGGAGGATGGTCGGTGGGCAGGGAGATACTGGAGTCGAACGGAGAGGAGACGACACATGGCGTTGTCACGGCAACACCGAGAGAGGAGGGGAGGGGCGGAGGAGCATTTGGGTGGATGCCAGGGGGCAGCGGCGTCTCAGACGGTGCTGGAGCTGAGCCACCTGAAGCAGAACCGGCTGAGGAACAGCAAGCTGCTTGATGATTGGACAACAGTGGAGGAGCTGCTGACGCATGGGACGCGAGTGGAGAGTGACAGTCAGCTGTGTCCCAGTCCGCTGCTGTCAGTCACCACCGTCTGATCCTCTGTTAGCTCAGAGTGAAACCTCACTAAGGTCCAGATTCATGAAGGGTCCAGCTAATGTGCTCCAGAACATTGATCCAGGCTGATCCAGTCTAAACTGTCCAGCTTGGTAGGTCTGAACTTATAAAAGGCTAATCTAGAAGTTAATTAGCCAAAAATCCTGATTTATAACCAAATCTGTCAGAGAATGCCATTCCAAAGAACCACTTTCTAGTCGTCAACACAAAGTTTCACCTGGTTTATGTCCGTCCCCCAAAAACCTTGCTCAACTCAGAATATCTTTCTGAGCAGCTAGCTGGCAGGTGTTAAGCCCAAATGTTTACCGGTGTTCACTGACAGCTGGTCAGACTTTATGCATCTGGCCTCTGGAGGTCTATATGAAGATGAACCTGAGCAATAACTTCCACATTTCAGGAAAAACTGCCTTCCGGCTGCAACTTTTTTGAGTCTGGATCTCAGTGATGTCAGAACTGAAGGGCACACTGTTGCGACCGTGGATCAGAATCTGGAGGTCTGATCTTAAGTTCAGAAATACTAAAATACTCAAAGCTACAACTGGAATCAGTGGAAAAGATGGAAAAAAATGTGTCACCAGCTCTGCAGAACAACTCGACTTGAGTTTAAACAAACAGCAACGTCTGAGAGCGGCCAGAGAAACCAGCTGGTTTGCATGAGTCAAAGGCCTCTGAAGAGATTCACAACTCTGCTGAGAATCTTTGCACAGCAGACCGCCTGTGACTCTCATCAAATATCACATGAGTGGTATTTCCTGGTGAAAAGTGACTCCATCTCATCTTTGGGTAAACTGGCTCAACTCATGTGCCATAAATATCAGAGTTGACTCTCTATCATCTCCCACATTACAGGACTGCTGGGAGTCTGAATGCACCTTGGAGGACTTCTGCACCTTTCTCATCAAACAGCCTCCACATCCTCTGAGAGGCTGATTCACCACAGAGTTTTAAATCATCACTGTTACTGGTTTATTTCTGACTTTTCTGTTTTCAGGTTCTTCTCTCTCAAACAGAGCAGATGTGCAAATATATGAGGCGTTACCAGGAGATTTCCTATGTCTTCACAGTATTTTCCACAACAAGGCTCTCCAGTGTTACAGGCTTGTCATTGGTCTGTTAATCCCCAGGTCAGTAGAACTTATGTTGATCATCTAATGATGGTTTTCATAATCTCTGAAGTGAAAGCATCAAACAGACATTGGATCTATCAGAAGCTAAGATTTGCCGTTCGTTAACTGCATTTGTCAACCTTTGAACAACTAGTCATCAAACACAGTCCAGAGTTCAAATGTGTTTTGTTTTCATTCCCTGTAGAAATTAATTACAATTTTCTGTTTGCTCCATGAAATGCCAGAAATTCAAAAGATAATCATCAGCAAACATGATAATGTCTACAGTTCTTGACTTGAAAAGTTCAGTGCACAGATGGAGCGATGGAAGGGACATGACACTGCTTCTGTTGAAATCTCAATGCATCATTTGAGTAGCAGCAGATCAGATGGATGACAGAGTTGGAAGGTTGGACACATTGATGGTCCCGTGCCAGTAGTTACCCCCTGTAGACGGGACAGAACACATGCCCTGTGTAGATGCACAAAGTCCTGGTGAAACTCTGTCCAATGGTGAGGTCATGGAATGGGTGGGACATGAGGACACTGAGGTAGTGCCGTGATGTTAGCCCTCCCCACTGAGTCACTACGGCCAGTGATCACCTAAAGTCAGCGAAGTACCTTAAGGCTCCCACATATTTCACCCGAAGTGCTGAAATCAACTCTCAGTGATGTAGTAACTTGATGAAAATGGCATCAACTTGTTTGCTGGAGAGCAGCCATCTCCCTTTGTTGGCACCAGGCCCACTGCTGCAAAATGGCTCTGTGAAATGTGTTGTGATTGGTCAGAAGTTTGTTTTTAAATTTTATGTAGAAATGTGCTCAGATAGCAATGTTGACATTTCTCTTCAACTTGTCCGCTTCCTCTATCTGGGTTTTCGCAGGCAATAAGATTACTTTTGATGAACGTTTATCAGACGTGGTGAGGAATTACGTACATTTGTACAATTCTTCGCTAAATAGCTACAAAGAGTCAAATGGCTATAAACGTCTGGTAGAAAGGCTGTCTGAAAAAAGGTTTGGCACTTACTCCAGGACCACTGCGTTAAAGCAAAATGGAGGATGCAGAGAAGGAGTGGTGAGCCTGGCAAGAAGAAAGTCATGCCCAAATGCTACTGGGTTGTGACGTTTACTGAAGGGAGAGAGGTCTCCCCAGGTAGTCTGTGACGTGATTGAAAGAGAATACAAATGTCCCACAACCATGCGATCACTTGTCAACTGTTTGGCTTTGGATGAAATATGGGACAGCAGTGGCAAACCGAGGCACCGGGAGAAACACCAGTGTGTTTGTCAGACTCAGTCAACGGTCCTCTAAACTACCATGGTCTCCCATCTGATGGTTACCTGTGGTAAAACAGACCTGAGATTCACCACAGAACATAAAAAACACCATTTAACAGCTCAAGCTGTGGCTGCCATTATCAAGCCTGCACAGGGTGTTGAATCAGCAACCCAGCTGATACCTGTCATGGTGCTAGATGTCATTAGATTCCTGGAAAGAGTCCAGTCCCTGTCTCCAGATGCCACAGGGTTCTGTGATGCTTGACACAACGGTCCTCCCTTGGTGTGTCATGTCTTTGGAGAGTGGGACCTTCTTGATGTGTTCCAGATGGACACTAATTTTGGGCCACTGCGACTTTTGTACATTCAACACTCTGGGTGGGTACTGGAGCCCATAAACATCACCTCTGAGTCTGCTGACCTTCTCTCACTGCTCCTGATGACTGTTGGATGCTGAGGTTACTCCCTAATAACACTGTTCTACTGTTTGTGATGTCGACTCCACTGCCCCCTGGTGGCGGTGATAGATACAGTAACTCCTTGAAAACCAAACCATAGTTATATCCATTGTTGGCTATGAAACCAGTTTGGATTAACCATTTTTGGTGCTCCACCCGTTTGGCCAGTGAGCACATTTTATTCATCTTAGTGACTCATTTAAAGACAATGTTTACTGTTGAGAACACTCTTGTTTACAAGAAGAGTAGAAACCTTAAAAAAAGCTCCACTAAATGCACTTGTTTAAAGGATCCTCAGCTTCTTGGAAGCAAATGCAAAGAAGTGAAGACTGCATGAATACTTCACACTTTGTTGGAGCTCTATTTGTGTTCGTTCCACTTCCCAACGTTCATGAAATCACTTCGCTGAAGTGGTGACAGCACACAATCAGAAGTCTGTTCACATCACCACTTAGTTTTAAATTAGATGTCAGCAGCAGATTCAAGCAAACTGTGGCACTTTTCATCCTTTAACTGACAAATTGAGCCTCTTATCCACCCTGTCAGAGTATCAGTGATGACATTCAGGTAGTTTTAGATCTGAGAGTGGATCAGTCAGGGGTGGAGGAGAACCGGAGCATCTCATTACTGTGAATGGAAAATACTGATGTTTGTTTCATCTGCTCTGAAGGGCTGCTGGAAGCCCACACGACTACAGAAGATGTTTGCAGAGAGATCTCTGTCAGGGTTCAATGTTATGATGTAACTGTTCAATGCAATTTGTTAAATATGAGCAAATGTCTATTTATTTTCATATTTTAAAGACTGGGTTTATGAAATCTGAGATTCATTGTCTAAAAGTTGTAAACAATAATAGATGTCAGGGTTTGTTTTTCTAATCTGTGTGTGTTGGTGTGTATGCTATTGCAAGAAGGAGAGTACAAAGTTTGATACTGTCTGTAGTGTTTAGCCAAAGATATTGTGTAAATCTGATATCTGGACAATCTAGAAGAACTGTCGCTGTATGATGTAAGAGTATATTTTATAATCATATTAGTTTTATATATTTTATGCTTTATTTTGCCTTCTGCTGGTCTGTACATAGATGCTAGCATAAACCACATTAGCACTGCTCCTAATTAGGAAACATGTCAACGACCCACTGAAGTGTCACAAGTCCTTTGGGATTTTCTCAGACCTTAAATCATGTTACGTTTAACCATGTCATGAAGCACAGATAGTTGCATCCATCCATGTCAGGGACCAGCAAACAGTAGAGAGGAAAAGGAAACTGTCTACAGTGGGACAGACTACCGGCCTCAAAATGAGGGGTCACAGTGGGGCCCAACTGGACCAGTGGGGACTTTGCCTGAGAAACCCAGGGAGGGACCCAAAACAACTGATTCTTTCACTAACCAGATCTATCATTCGTCCAAACAGACGAGATCATTTCCAAGCTGCCTATAGGGTTCAGAAATCACCGATCAGGCTGGCCTAATCACACAGGTGAGCGCACTAGAGCTGTGTTCGTTCAGAAATCAAGCTGGGATTGGCTGACCAAAGGATCAGTAGAGAGCATTACGCTTACGTTTGTCAGGCATCTCTAGTTTTAAAGGAGAAACACACTGGTTGTGTGTGTCACCTTATCAGTTTGGGTCTAGATGAAGCTTCGTTGTCTCTGAAGGAACGACCTTCGCCTGACGTCCACTGACCAGTTTGATCTCAGCACTTCACTGTAACCTGCCCTTTGTCTGTGAACTGGAAAGAAACGATGTGTGACGCAGCATCCTGTGGCGGTCCTGGTGAGAGTTTGCCTTAAATTTGTCGGACATCTTTGTTTTGATCTCACAGGTCGTTCCTAAATCACATCTACCAGATCCCAGCTAGCCCTAAAAGAAGTCAACTCTACATGTTGACTACAACCTTCAAACTCACACACGCTTCTACGCAGCTCTAGTGCCCCAAAAATATAATTAGACCCTTTTTAAGACTAAATGGCTAACTTATGACATGGACAACAAAAGAAAGAAAATGGCTGAGGGCCCCCTCTTATTTACAGACATTTCTCACACTGTCCCAAAGTTGGAAAAATCAGTTGAAATCTCATCCAAACTTAGAATTTGTTTCAATTCCAAAATCCAATATGGTTGCCTGGCATGTAAACAGCTTGACAGCTGCAAAAATAGCTATTTACTTGGACTTTGATCAGTAGTAGTGATAACATTTTAACATTTTAACCTGATGCACCTGCGGTCCCTCCTCTACTGGTAGACAGTGTGTGTACGAAAACAATGGACAGACATGCATTATAATCTTACATTGTTAACAGCATGATAGTTAGCATGCTAGTTAGCATGTTCGTTAGCATGGTCACCAAGCACAGTAATGAGGAAGTCTTGCAAGTTTTTTTAATTTGCAACTAAAACATATTTAGGTTGGGCTTGATGTAATTCATAGAGCCTGAGGTCCAAAAACTCCTGCTACACCAAAGAGATTCTGAAAAAGGGAAATGTTTGTATTTTGTTATATAAATGTGATTGTCTGTTTAATTTCAGATAGTGCCAACTTCACCAATGTGTTTTAAGTAGCTATGGTTTATATATTGTGCTTAACTTAGCTTAACTCCGCTTAGTTTAGTTTTGCTTTGCTTTCCTTAGCTTAGCATGAAAGCTTGCTGGAGTACAACCAGCCCAAATCTGAAACACCTTCGTCTTTTACATTTATCTTCAAGTTTTCTTTATAAGTAAATTTATAAATTCAAAAGTTTTTAGACCATTAAAAAAGTTAATTGTTCTTCTGGTCCTGGCTGTTGGTTTAGTTCTGGTTCTGGTCCACTCTGATAAACTTCACCTACCTGCACCGAAGCTTCCCGCGCTCATTCCGCCTGCACGTCATCAGGAAGGCCGTTTGTTATTGATGAAAAATGGCGGCTGCCGTGACTCATCCGGCTTTCTGTTCTTGGGTTTGTGATTTCCGTGTACCTCACTGTGAAGCTGAACCGTGACGTTCGTGACCTCAGTTTTGGAAAGCTGGTTGGAGAAGTTTGAAGGAAATGGCATCACAGAAGACTGTGAAGTCAAACTGCTTACTGTGAGTCTGGATTCTGTCGAAATTCAGCATCTCAATAAAGTTTTATAATGAACTTTCAGTCTCATTGACTTTTTAAAACCTTTTTCAGTGAATTTTTGTACATTATTATAAATAAATAAACAACGTAATTCCTTTTTAATAAGACAATACACATTTTAATGCCTAAAATGCTGATGTAAATAAATACGTGTCTGGTTTATTTCTGTGTTGAAGCAGTTTGCATCAGAGGGTCGCCATGGCAACGGTGACTGACGTGTCATACCTCCGCGGTTCTGCTGTGATCTGTGACCGTTGCCATGACAACGAGCGTTTGCGAGGCAGCCAGTCTCGCAGCTCATGGCCTTGTCACCATGGAAATGCGTTTCCGAGCCGCTTATTTACAGAAAATAGCCTTCATCAGAACATCAGAACCAGCCGGACCGGACCGAGCCCTCCGGACCCCGCAGACAGCCCACAGTAGGGGAAACCTGGACCGAACCGGATTGGTGAGGTTCCTGCACACCACAGACCTGAGGAATGTCAATACAGCAAAACCAGCTGGAGCAGGGCGCCCTCTGCTGGTCAGAGGCTGGGATTACAGCCGCGGCCGTTCCAACAGGGAAGTTAATTTACAGAAAAAATCTTATTGAGAGTGAAATGAGGATTAATGTGAGACAGTTTTGCTCATCAGAAACTACGGAAGTCGCTTTCCACCACGAAAGAAAAAAAAAAGCCCAACAGGAAGTCATCAGATTAGGTTTTTGTGACTTTATGTCTCACAATTATGAATTATGACTGACAAAGTTGAAATTATAATGTAGTATCTCAGAATTATGACTTTTATTCTCAAAATTATGACTTATGTTGTAAATTTGCCTTTACCATACAGTCTCATTATTTCTCTGCATGCTGCACTTACCTTTAACTTGCTGTTGTGAGGTAATTATCGGTGGTAAATTTTTAATTGAGTTAATTGCAGGGTCTCTAATTAGCAAATTCCCTTTTTAATCAAAAACCACATAGGCTATTGAAACATTAAGAAACATTTTCAATCCAAAGACCCTTTTTGCTGCTAATTATTGAATAAATAGAAATATCCAACAAATATATTTTTATTTTTAATCTGTACTTCAGGTTCTTTAACCCTCAGATTGCAGCAAAGTGTTTTTATCCGTTCATCTTTCCAGAGTTTCTCTGACCATTTCTGGAGCTTCGGCCTGTGGACGCTGGCATTAGCATTAGCTGCTACGTGTTTAGCATTGAGATGCTGTTTTAACACAACTTAAACACAACAATAGTCTTTTCCAGCATCCAATCAGATCGTTTAGAAGCAGAAATCAGCCATCAGGAGAGAAGCAGCCTCGTCCTCGATTGATGCTAGCGGATGTAGCTAACAGATTTATGGCCGTACCAGAAACACAAGCGGGTTGCAGCTCGGAACAAGATATGTTAAAAGAAGAAACAAAATAAAATAATAAATTGCATTAATAATTGTAACATGTTAAAGTCTATGTGATTAATAGAATATAACACGTTCAGGCCACAGACCTAGAGTCAACAGAATAGAAATCTTATTTAAAGTTAGTTGTTTGTTTTGTTTTTTTTTTTTGTTTTTTTTTGTTTGTTTTTTTGCACACAAAGTAAAAAGAGAAACAACAAAACACAAATTCAATAATTGAACGTTTTATTCCATAAAAACATATTTGGATATATCTTTTTAAATCAGAACTCGTTAAATATTCTCCACAGGAAGGGGCGTCTGTCTTACCGCTCCCTGACAAACGGAGACATGAAACTTTGTTCCTCCTTTAAAAGACAAATTCTTTTCAGGCGACAAAAAAAGTTCATCGTTTGTTTTCAGCTAAATCCAACCAGACAAACTTCTCTGAAACTAAATAAACTCTCTATAGCTGTCCGAAGGTACCTACCGCCCCCTAGAGGCTGGCTGTGGCACACGTTGTTGCAATGCTATATAAACCAGAAGTTTCCATCTCAAGCAGGGTGGAGCCTGAATAAAATGTCTCCACCTAATAACTACATCACCCAGCATCAGTGTAACTACGTTATATCGTTGTTACTTTATATTCAGCCTCTAAAAGAAAATAAATTATTTTTAAACTTCCTCTTGACCAAAAATGCTTTTTGCTGCCATTACAAACCATAAACTGAGGCAAAACCAGCTGCAGCAGGAAAATCATCTGAAACACAAACTAACAGAAAGACGACTGTAACTAAATATTCAAGGCAAACCGGTGATAAATCTGGACACAAAAGACAATAAATATGTTTACTTTCCCTTCTTTGTGGTTTTTCAGATTGTCAGTAAAAAGATCTGGACATTTTCTTGACATGTAGAAAAATTCTCCCCCATATGACCTGAAATATCGATAAACTGAAAATAATTAGAATTAACGGAAAATTCACTTTAATCTATTCAAAGTCCCAGAGAGCAGGAAGATAAAAGTCTCACTCAGCGCTGAAACTCTGCCCTCTGCTGACCTCAATGTGGAACTGCATGCGGACAGAAATAATTGCTTCGGTATCCATCCATCCATCCATCTTCTTCCGCTTCATCTGGGATCGGGTCGTGGGGTCAGCAGCCTAAGTAAGGACTTCCCTCTCCCCAGCCACTTCTTCCAGCTCCTCCAGGAACCCCAAGCCGTTCCCAGGTCAGCAGAGAGACATCGTCCCTCCAGTGTGTCCTGGGTCTTCCCCTCCTCCCGGTGGGACCTGAACTCCTCACCAGGGAGGTGTCCAGGAGGCATCCTTGCCAGATGCCTGAGCCTCAACTGGCTCCTCTCGACGTGGAGGAGCAGCGGCTCTACTCTGAGTCCCTCCTGGATGACCGAGCTTCTCTCTCTAAGGGAGAGCCCAGCCACCCTGCGGAGGAAACCCATTTCGGTTGCTTGTATCCGGGATCTCGTTCTTTCGGTCATGACCATAGATGAGGGTGGGAACGAAGATCAACCGGTAAATCGAGAGCTTCGCTTTTTGACTCAGCTCTCTCTTCACTATGA